GATGCTAAGTGCACCTCCTTCTTCAGGTGTGACCACCAGAACTGTCTCCAGATATTGCCAAATGTTCTCCAGAGAAGGGGCAAAAGCAAGGCAGGTTGACCACTGCTGACAAGATGTTTAGGATAGAGGGGAAGAGACTGTCCAATTTTGTGCCAGTCTGTTTTTTAATGATGATGGGGAGCTGCCTCTATTCATGAGTTTTAGTTTCTTTGGAAGTTTGATGTGAAAGAAGGCAAAACCCACTTTGCATACTGCCACAGGTCTTTACATGTATTGATACTCAAAGCACAGCCAAGTGGCTGGTACATGATGGCTCTCAATAAATAAAATTTGAAGAGACTCTTAGTATACACCGAAGGAAGTGGCAGTGCCTCCTCAGAGTGACATGAAACTTAAGAAAAACTTCCACTGGGAATCCATGAGACCCTGGAGCGTGGGGGACGGGCTTAAGGGAGTTCCCCAACCGTGTGGTTCCCGGGGAAGGGAGGCGGGCCTCAGGAGCTCGACCAAGCTCTGGACAAGCAGAGGCTCACCCGGCGGCAGGAAGAGCGTGGCCCGCAACCGGCCCGCGCGCACCGGCTCCCGCCGCACCCCGGGACGCAGGAAGCCGCGCTCCTGCACCGCCCGGCCCAGTAGCCGACCGGCCTCCGGCCCGTGGCCGTCCAGCACCTCCAGCTCCACGGCGAAGGGCGTCTGCACGTCGCGCTTAACCAGCCGCAGCAAGGGCTTCTCGGGCTCCAGGGCCCAGAGCAGCCCCATGGGCTCGACGCCCGCGAAGCTGCCGCCCAGGGCGGGCGCGCGCGCCAGGTCCAGCTCGCCGCGGGCGTCGGCGCGGTAGCGCGCGTGGGCCCGGAAGAGCGCGTTCCTCTCGTCGCGCAGGGACGCGCGCAGCGTGACCGGCTGCTCGGGGGCCAGGCCGCGCACGGCGATGCGCACCGGCTCGTCCCAGCAGCAGCGGCCCGCGGGCTCCAGGTTCAGCGTCGCCGCCATCCGGGTAGGAGCCCAAGTCATCCGGCCACGTGATCTCAGCGGAAGCATCCCCAGCCACAGCGCCCAACTTTTCAGGGTGCCTGAGCACAGCCCGGACGCTCGCAGGACAGCAAGAGACATTCAAGCCTTGATTTCAGACCTGGGAACAACTGCACACGGGTGTGGACGAGATAAAATCCTCTAGGGCTGCCTGCCTGCCGGTTCAGACCTCATTAAGACACAAAGGTCAGCTCATCTGAGCTGGGAAAGCCACAGCCCCAGGCACCGGGAGTAAACGCAGACCCAAGCAAGTGAACTTGCTCACTGCCCCTGAGAAAACCTCCTCTTTGTGCTGCTTTCCCGAAGTTCATTGGCCGGCGAAAGGTGGGCTGGCTCTTGAAGACCACAGCAACCAATCGCCAGACTCCAGGCTAAGAGGGATTCAGGACTGGATTTGAGTTTATTACCTCCTGGAGTAATTCACACTCCTTACTAAACCAAGCCTTTTCTTTCAAAGTCTGCAGCAGGGTGTTTTGCCTGTGTGTTCTCTGTGCCCTCTCCAGTGGTCGCATTTAAGGAACCTGGCCTCTTCCTAGCTGTATGACGTCTGAACCTCATTCCCTACAGGTGTAAAAATAGCCAAATGAAGTAATATTTTTCATACTGGACTCTTAATTATGGTCCATTTAAGCAAACGTTATTTCACTCTCGGCCCCTGTTTTTCCTTTCTCATAAGCTGTCATTTCCAACCAGAAGTGGATTTTTCATCAGACTTAAACCTGTAGGCTTCTTCCAAGGCCTTGTACCTGATTTTACCTTCATGCATTCATGGTTGCATATCTTTGTTAGAGAAACCTGCTTTAGGGAAATGTATATGCTTCAAGTGCAAAAAGCCTGTTGGCAATAAGGCCGCCCTCAAGACAAGCCTTTTCACCTAATTCCAAACGCTCTCATGTCCCTCTGGTTGTTATTCATGCAGCTCCCTGTATCTCTGATTACTTTTGTAAGGCATACTTCAGGTGTATTTTGTGCATAGGAGTTGCAGGAACTAAAGAAAGTAATAATAGCTGGTTGTTAATTCCCACAAAATCCCTATAAATAAATTAAAGCTCCGAGAAGTTAACTGATTTGCTGAGGAATGTACAGCTAGAAAGTAGAAATGTGAGAGGAGGAGGAGGAAAAAATAAACTATAGTAGTCTGTTACCTCATCTTAGAGCAGCACTTAAGGTGTAGGGAAAATGAGGGTGGTTGGGGACCACCCCAATACAGGCGTCTGGGGGTTTCCTGGCTACCGGGAACTCCCCTCCTAAGACTATGAAAGTAATGACTCTCAGGAAGTGTTGGGTTTAACTGAACTGCAAGAAGACACCACTGGTGGAATTGAGAGGCTACAATTCAGGACCAATGGTAGAAAAATACTCAGCCACTACCCAGATTTAATGGGGGGGGGAGGCATGTGACTGGCTGGCGTATAGGATATTTGTTACAGAATGTTGGAAAGCTTACAGCAACTGCAGTAGTTGGTGGCTTTCTTTTTCAGATTGCCAGTCATAGTGGCTATGTGCAGATAGACTAGAAAAGAGTCAAAAAGATGTAAACAAAGAAAAAGGACAGATTAAAAAATGAGCAAATAGGCTTGGCGCCTGTGGCCCGAGCAGCTAAGGCACCAGCCACATACACCTGAGCTGGCAGGTTTGAATCCAGCCCTGGCCCGACAAACAACAATGACAGCTCCAACCAAAAGATAGCTAGGCGTTGTGGCAGGTGCTGGTAGTCCCAGCTACTTGGGAGGTTGAGGCAGGAGAATCGCTTGAGCCCAGGAATTGGAGGTTGCTGTGAGCTGTGATGTCACAGCACTCTACTCAGGGGGACAGCTTGAGGCTCTGTCTCAAAAAAAAAAAAAGAAATGAGCAAATAAAGCAGCACCCAAAATCAACAGTATAATTGAAGAAGCCACAGAATTTATCAAACAGGACATTATGTTACCCAGCAGATTTGTGGGAGGCTTTTTGCTAGGCCTATCTTAAGGATAGGAATGTTCCATTGTAGTGGATTCAAAGTGAGAGAAGAAGGGGTGACAATGACAATGACTCTGGTATGTGCTGCCAGAGTCTGCAGGGCAAGGAGAATCAGCTGGCTGGACAATACTACACTCACAACTTAGCATTTTGCCATCTGAAGCTTGGGAAACTTGTATGTGCTGTTAAACAGCCTTTATGTTATGTGATATGTCTTATGGGCTCGGCACATTTAGTTCAGTGGTTAGGGCGCCAGCCACACACACTGGGACTGGTGAGTTCGAGCCAGGCCAGGACTAACTAAACAACAATGACAATGGCAACAGAAAGATAGCTTGGCATTGTGGTGGGCACCTGTAGTCCCAGCTACTTGGGAGGCCTAGGCAAGAGAATCACTTAAGCCCAAGAGTTTGAGGTTGCTGTGAGCTGTGATCACAGCACTACCAAGGGTAACATCATGAGACTCTGTCTCAAAAGAAAAAGAAAATAGTCTACACAAAACATGGCTTCCATCAGTTTTTACAAATTTGTGTCTGTTTACAAGTTAGTCTATAAAATATCACCATTGGGTATAGATATGAAGAGAAAAAAATATGTCCGATTAACATGATTCTTTTTATTTAAGTGAGAAATTCTTCATTACGTTTTATGGTATAGTGACAATGATTTAAATTTTATATTTTAGCTTTAAACAAATGGGATGTGGAAATGCTGGGAGTCATCCCTTTGCAATCTGATTTCCAAACCTGTGCTCCGAACAGCCTGTGCTTTGTCTGTCACGTGGCATGGGGTATGTTGAGGAGGATTTGAACAATACACACATTGGTGGATGCATACACTGGCATGACCTTTTCAGGGAAGTCTTTATAAAAGTATTGAAAAAATGCATTCTCTTTGACAATTCCACTTCTAGGAATTTCTTGTAGATAAACCTTTATAACGGTGTGTAAATATTTGGCAATAGGTCACTGACGATACTTTAATAGAGAAAAAGTTAGAAACTAGCAACATATATAGTATTTAGTTTAACCAGTTTAATGGCCATGTCCCATAATGGAAGAGATGTATCCATTTAACATTATATAGCCAAAGAATATATGAGGAGAAAATCTTCACAAAATTGAAAAATAAGAGGATTAAGGAACAGTATGTATTATTTTTATAAAGATGATAATATTTTGAAAAAACTCAAAACTACCCCACACTGCTGTTTCTTACATCCTGGGTATTGTGTATAGTTTTAATTTTTTTCTTTGTTCATAACTTCTATCAGAAAATCTAAATGATTTTTATGATTAAACATAGGTTTGGTTTTTAAAATTGTGGTAAAATATACAACCATTAAATTTACCTTTTTAGGGCAGTGCCTGTTGCTCAAGGAGTAGGGCGCTGGCTGCATATACTAGAATTGGTGGGTTCAAATCTGGCCCTGGCAAAAAAAAAAAAAACTGCAAAAAAAATTACCACTTTAATCATTTTATTACTATTGTTTTATGCAGTACTATTTTAATAATTAAAAAAATATATATATACATATTCAGCCTTTTTAAGGCTGAATGACACTCCGTGGTATGTAACATACCACATTTTGTTTATCCTTCAAAGGAGACTTGGGTTGCACCACCTTTTGACTATTTTAAATATACTACTATGAACATAGATGTACAGATACCTATTAAGTCCCTGCTTTCAGTTCTTTCTGGTATATACCTAGAAGTGGAGCTGTTAGATCACATAGTAATTCTATGTTTAATTTTTTGAGGAAACTTCAACAGGGTTTAAATCTTTAATGTTTAAAACTTTCAGTCTCGGCTCAGCGCCTGTGGCTTACGTGGCTAAGGCGCCAGCCACATACACCTGAGCTGGTGGGTTTGAATCTAGCCCGGGCCCAACAAACAACAATGATGGCTGTAATGAAAAAATAGCCGGGCAATGTGGCGGGCACCTGTAGTCCCAGCTACTTGGGAGGTGGAGGAAGGAGACTCACTTGAGCCCAGGAGTTGGAGGTTGCTGTGAGCTGTGATGCCACTGCACTCTACCTAGGGCGATAGCTTGAGGCCCTGTCTCAAAAAAAATAAATAAAATAAAAATAAATAAATAAATAAATAAAACTTTCAGTCTCAAATCAGAGACTCGCCTTTTCTGGGGGTCCAAGGGTCTGAGCACAGGTGGAGTCAGGCACTAAAATCAATGCCCAGGTACATCAGCAATGCCAGCCTTACCTGGAAGCAAGAGATGCTGACCACTAGAGTAGCATGACCTAGGTCAGCTAGATTAGGCCTTAGGCCCAGAAATATTTCCTACTGTTGGGATAAATTAGTTTGTTTCACAAGGAGATGATGACTACTATTTCTGTGGGCCTGAAATTATACTATTAGAAATCCAGGACTTGAAATGTCACCTTTTAAAAATAGTGTTAATGAATAATAATCTAGCCAGGATCTGGGGATCAGGAGGTTGAAATTGAACTGTATGGACGCAGAAGATCAAGTAGCAGTGAGAGCATAAAAAGCAAATAGAAAAAGCCCAAAGGCCGCTTCTACTGTCCCATTTGCTCACTCAGCCTGATAATCTGCAGCATGTTCTCTGCTTTGCCTTTTTTAAAAAAAAATCTTCTCCTGCTTCCTTTTGTTTCTTTGCCTCTTTCTCAGCAGGATTTATGAAACCTTGTGAGTTAAAAATATTGAGCTGCATACATTCATAGGTCTTTATTTTTCAAAGAATGACCAAGAAATCCATTAAGCCACCAATCAATAAATGTGATACAAGCTCGGCGCCTGTGGCTCAAGCGGCTAAGGCACCAGCCACAGATACCTGAGCTAGCGGGTTCGAATTCAGCCTGGCCCACCAAACACCAATGATGGTTACAACCAAAAAATAGCCGAGCGTTGTGGCAGGCGCCTGTAATCCCAGCTAGTTGGGAGGCTGAGGCAAGAGAATAGCTTAAGCCCAAAAGTTGGAGGTTGCTGTGAGCTGTGACGCCTCGTCACTCACCCACAGCAACATAGTGAGACTCTGTTCCCACCAAAAAAAAATGGTGATGTAATTTCTCAATGCTCAGTTTACAAAGAAGAAAATTTAATAAATAGTTGAAGATACCCCCAACTGAACACACAGATTCTATGAGTAGACTCATGGAATTCTAAAAAAAAAAAAAAAAAAAAAGATAAAAGAGGGAAAAAAGAGACAATTATGGTTCATACTGCCTTTGGTAGATCTTTTGATTGTTGGAAAACTGGAACTCCCCTCTATCAAAGAATAAAGCCTTTTGCTTTTTAAAACTTTTT